GAAGGACCCAATAAATATAGATTGATGAAAGCATAGTTAATATCGATGAAAGGCAAGAATATTTTCTACAACCACAATACAAGTCGATAATACAATAATGGTCAAAGTAAAGATTTTTTCTCAAAAATTGCAGTTTTTTGCCATTCACATAACATATGTTTGCTCTTGTGGCAATGACATCAATGAAATAGAATTCTATCATTTAATATCTGCTCTTGAGCATACTGGTCATTCATCTTCAAGTGACTATGGCCAGAGTATTCGCACAGTGATTTATCATAATTTAATACATAATAATAATAATAGCCTTCGTTAACACGTTTCTGTGTACCAACCTTGAAAATCTTGTCAATCTTAGAGATATTGATCTGTTTCTTTTGGTCCATTTTTATGATGCCATTATCTTTGCTATCCATTAAAAACATAGTAAAACCCATCACCTAAAAAACACAAAATTCAAATAAAATGTTTTTAAACTACAGTATTGTGCTGTAGAAGTAATGATAGACCCCTAGAATTACTCCTCAGACCCTCCACACCCTTTGGAAGTTCAACTTCTCGCTTTCCAGAAGGAAAGAATATACCCCTCCCCCCTTATACTAACATGACCCCACCCTCTACAAATCCCATGGTAGACAAGTGGATATTTCCTGGTATCTAACTGACCTATCCTCCACAGATCCTCCCAACTAAATAATAATTCCATTCTCAATAATTAAGAATTATTTATGAAGGGTACCAATGGATCCTGAAAATGCATAAATGTAGAGTAAACTCATATGCTATCCATATAAGAAAATATAAATGCTGTTTTCATAAGTATTCACTTTGGAAAGTTTTTTCAAAAGTATGTGTTTGCAACAGGGAGGTGTTTGCAGTGCAAGTTTTTATAGTTCACATTTGGAAGGAAGGGCCAAATGCATCCAAAAGTATGTACATTTATGAATAAAAATGTAAAAATTTGGCCTTAAATTTTGAAGGCACAATAGTCTTTTCCACAGTTCACTGCGCCATCTTGAAAGGTAGCCATGCCTTTGAATTGAAGCGGAATGAATGGTGAGCTTGCAAAAAGGTCGCTATCACTGCAAGCTCACCTCACCATTCGTCACGCTTCAATGCAAAGGCACGGCTACCTTTCAAAATGGCGCATGGAACTGTGAAGGGGAATTTTATAGAATGTCACACAATACCTTCAACAGCATGTGCTTTTCTGCAGGAAGAATGTACAAACTGGTCTCATACAGCTTGCAACACAAGTTCACCACATCGGCCAGAACATCTTCATAACCTTGGATCTTTTCAAGTTTTTCTTTTAACATTAATGTAATTTTATTTTGAGTGGCCAAGAAGAACGAAAAAGTCTGTGTTTCTTGTATCAATGATACATCCCCTGTTCCACGCCTTAGAAATGTGTCGGCTCTGAAAGAGAAATGAGGTATCATTTAAAAACCAGAGAATCCAGAGAAAAAGCAGGATTTAAACAAGAGAAATGTTTGCATTCAGTTGTGTTACAAATTTCCTGGCAGTTTGGGAATCAAGGTGATGTAGCAGTAGTGCACTTGTATCTCACCTCTGGGCTCTCAGGTTCACTTCCTGGAATAGGCATCACATATAAGTAAGAGTTTTTTAAGTCTCTTCCTTAATTTCTAAACAAGCTAAATTTTAAATTGATCTGTGAGTTAGCCATGCTCTGAATAAGATCAGTCCAGGCTGAGCTTGTTTCAGATATGAAGATTTGAAGGTTTTAACGTATCATCTAAAAGAGAAACCCTTAAGAGTTCTTGAATTTATATCAATATTCAAGCACACAAGCTTGGAAGCTGAAAATTTGATCTGCCTATCTGAGATTCTGACCCAATCTACACATTAATAAATAAACAGCTCAAAACAATCTGCTTACCTTTTGAACAAAGCATAGTCATTGTTAAGACAAGCCTTCATGTTTTTAAGGGCATCCAGTACAACAAACATGTTAATAAACCTTCCAAGAGTAAGAAGATATCTCTCTGATATAAAGTCCTTTTTTCTTTCAGGATGACTTAGGGTTTTGACCTCACGGCAGAACCTTTCAACACTGGTTTCAGCAAAGTACATGAAGCCTTTGAGCTTTTTAATCTCTGGCTCAAGTACTTCGACTGTCTTCTCATAAATTTCGACTCTGTTGGGCTGGTCATCACTCTTGACCTAGAAATCAATAACGATGGGATATCAATAAAACAACAATTAGCACAATATAGATAACTAAGAACTGTATCTGTAACCGGCCAATTTATAAGGATATCAGATCTCAACAATTTATTCATCGAGYCACTAAAATTTTACAAAATACTAGTAAGCTTACAGAAATTTTCATTTTTTCAGATGACATTCTAAGCTAGAATCAGTTTCATATTTCCATTTTACCTTTTCTTTGTTAAATAGGCAGAGAATATAAAAGGAAATTTGAACTTTACAAAACATTTTTTTCGTTCAAGAATCTTCTGAAAACGATATCCAGCTTAAGATGACTCCAACGTGATACAAGCAAGTTAAGAAAATGCCAAATTCACTTGCCATTTGTATAATGGAGTCACCTTACTGTGATTCCCAGTCACAAGTGATTAACTAGACCTTCATCACAAACAAAAAGTGAGTTTTGGTAGACGTCAATAAAAAGGGTATCTATCATTTCTTTTGGTTGGTTTCAGCAGACCAAACACTCATGTAAAATAACACACACACATGCAAACACTGTTTGAGGCCCTTATCTCATGCTTCTTGTTGCTGCGAATTTCTCACTCAGGATATTTTTCTTAAAAATGTCATAGTTTTCCTGCTCTGAATTTCAACTCTTGATTGCAAAGCTTTTGCTATTGACTATAATTATTTTGAGTGTCTTCAAGATCAGATAATAGGCCTTTTGCAGCAACAGGTTATGTGACCCTTCCCCCCATAAAAAGACATGTTGTGTCAAAATGAACAACAGAAATGGAATCAAACGCCCTTTGGCGAACTCGTGGATACTTGTTGCACTTTTGGAAGATTGGTCTTCCTGTGCCCTCTTTATGCTTGTTGACATTCTCAAACGGATTCCAAATATTTCGCTCGATTTAATATTTTGAATGCTCAATTTATCTAGTAAGATGAGTAATCGTCCTTATTATTTTCCTTTTAGCATCTAGTTCTTCGCTAGTTTGTTGAGTTTTAAATTGAAAATTGTCTGAACTTCAATTAATACGAAAGACGACTTCGACTACGACTTCGCGATAGAGTCAACTGAGTCAAGYATAGAATACAATTGGAAGAAGATCTATTTGAAAACGCTTTCTCTGTTTTCAATTTCAAAGGCGGGCTGTGTGTTTTATTCTAGGAATCATTCAACCTACGAGCTCAAAACTGAATATACAAGATAATCGACCGCTTATGGATACAATCGGGACGATCAACATAAAGCGTTGCGTTATGCTTGTTGATTTACATTACTGTTTATCTTGATCTTCAAGGGTCACAACTCCTACTTCAAATGAAACTATTTATTTACACTGTGAACTAAGAAAATATTTTATAGAAATACATTTAGAAATGCTATTTATTTCGTCTTCATCCAAGACGGTAAATTAATGATTATTTATTGGAACGAATTCTCGTTTAGACCTTCGCACATTTCAACATACAATCTGAGCATTGCTTCAGCTGTTTGTAATCTTGTAATGCGTGGCGATCAATCTACTTTTTATTCAGAACGGCTTATTTAAATGACAAAACTGGCCGAACTTCCTTCAAAACTCCATTGGAATTGTTCTTTTTTTCGTCTTTTACTATTTTTCTACGATCTACGTACATCTACATTGATTATTTCCTTAAGAAGTCACTTAGTAAATACAACTGTTGATCAGTAATATTAAAACTTCGCTCGATCGAGTTTATGAGATTTTATTGCTGAATACCGCCGCGACTTTGAGGTGTCTCTATGGAGAATAAAGTCCTCCAGAGCTTGAAATCAGACTCTCTTCTTGAGTTCTAATTAAAATAGCTTTTTTCGATAACCGGCTCGATCTACGAGTCTTCCGAAAAATCGAAATTTTGACGTTGTACCTAACTAATAAGCGTGTTTGTTTACTTTTTAAAATACATTAGAAAAAAAGGTCTAAGTCATTGAAATTTTATTTCAGGTGTTAGTTGTATAATTTTACTTCAACTTGCATCTTTCCTTGATTCTTTTAATATAAATAATTCGAAGATAAAACTATGTGCGAGTGTGCGCATGCACAGTGGGCCCCCACGGCGTCTACAAGTGCTAGAAACTGATCCCACATGGAACATCAGCATTTCGTTTCCTCATATAAAATAACAAAGTAATCCATATTGTATAAGAGCTTTGTGCTTGCTAGTGTCGTGTAACATTCGTAATCAAATGACGAAAGACGATCGCTAAACGTTTAATTATCGATCTGCTGACATCTTAGTGAGCGAGTGACACATTTGCATATTCAGACCCCTCACAATAACTCGTTTCTATGCTTCGCGTATCCACGAGTTAAAAAGCACCTCAATATTACTAAGGAGGCAAAGTTTCAGCTTGTGACATGGAACACAAGAGAAATGGCATTAAATACAAAATCGAATATTTTATATTTAATGTCATTGCTACTATAGTCAACATTATAAGCAAAAACTTCTTACTAATATTGAGKTGYTCTTCCAATTTCTTGTGTTCATTTTGACAAAACGTCTCTYYTTATGTGTGTAGGGTCAGTCATGTGACTATTTGTTGCAAAACGCTTATTCAATATTGATAGYTTTGCAGTCAAGCGTTGACATTTGGAGTCAGAATCCTTAGACATTTTTCAATGGTTGATGTCCACCAAAACTCAACTTTTTGTTTGTGATGAAGGTCTAGTTGGTYGCATATGACTGGGAATCACAGTAAATCTAAAGAAACTAGAAGTATGTTCACAAATGRAAATAAGTGCAGTATTTCTAAGTAGGAAACAAATGTGGCCTGATACTGAGACTATAAAGAAGATGTCTTGAATACACGTCTAATTTTTTTGCACAATGATATGTGATTACTCACACTTATTTAACTTTTGTAATCTGTAGACCCCTTAAAGCAAATCTCAAAACTGCTCAGTTTGAAAGTCGACACGATGAAATTAAGTTCTCAAGAGAGTAAATCTCTTTCATTTTGTCCTCAATTTGGTAATGCACTGGAAATATGCTGTAAGGGGTCCATCGATGAAGCCCTCAATGTACAATAATTATGTCATAACAATGCACTAATGAACACCAAAGTGAAGTAACAAATGTTGGAAAATATTGCTTTCTCTATGTAGCTGTATTGTATTACTTACAGATGGGACAGCCCTTGAGCAACACCTCCATGTATACAGGATCACAGCATATTTATCTCCTTCCTCTAATAATTCGATCTACGGATCAAATCCAATCCATATGATTTAGAATATATACAGTAAGTATGCATAAGATTGTTTTTAAAAGCAAAACTAGGTACTTTTATTAAATTGACACTTTCATCATTTCAAATGTCAAATCTATCCCAAACTTCTGAAGTGTTAGAAAATTGTTTATTAAGAAGCGAAGTAAATAGACGAAAGAAAGATTAAATAACACGATAGTTGATTCGTTCTTCGAGCTCAGGGGAGTTCAGGAAATAACTGTTCTTCGAAATCACCTCTGGCATTTGTATCATCGAGAGAGTTCAAGCTATCGGCCCTATCTAAACAACAACGAGACAGTTTCACAGACAAATTTGCAGTACAATTAACTTAACTAGAGATCATTAATGTGAAAGATAAGCTAGATTTCGACAAGGAATTTCTTAGTCGGAAGTATAAATAAGCTGTCACACCTACCAAGCCCTYGTGTACATCAGCTTCTTCTAAATACTTGCTTATACAGGTTATAAAAGCCTTGCTATCTTCAAAGTTGGTATCAAAATTGGCTGTGTAAGTGACCGAAGCTGGTGGCGCCTCAATTTGTGGCTGTTCATCTGGTAATATGATGGTTTCTAACTGCCGAACATTACAAATAGCCTCCTCTAAGGTAGCCATCTTTGTTTCCCGGCAGGTCTTGCGTGACTGCGGGGTATTTGTAGGGGAGGGAGGGGAGGGGAGGGGAGGATAGTGACTTTGTTTACATTTATCTTACACTAACTATGATTGGTTGATGATTTCCATTTTATCGAAAATATAAGAAAGCTTTTTATTGGGTGATTCTCAGCRGGATTGTTCAAACTGCTGTCTTGCAACTTTATTTTGGAACACCACCAGGATTACCTTCTCATGTACAGAAGCTCCTGAGATGGAATTGGAAAATCCTTTCAAATCRACAGTATCAGACTTAATTAAGTACGATTTTTTAGACCCTCCTTCATGGAGGAATCAGGAAGAAGGCATTCCGTCGGCTCAAGAAATGATTGATCAAATCATCGACTTCAAAACGAGTTGGAGTGCTTTGATAAATGAAGCACAAGCAGATCGCATTGAAGACTTCCAAAAAAGGTTTAGGGAGAAGTATTGTGACATTAATACTGATCCTTTGAAGGAATCAGAACGGGAGAAGAAGCAAATTGAATCAACGAACATAGGGAAGTTACTCGAGTTTTTTGACAACTTCATGGAGGAACAAAGGAGGGACGAAAATCCGCTGGATAGCAATTGTGGGCTTATTGAAAAGTCCATGGTTCAAGAGGCTCACAAAATTGCTGTTCACGGTATGAAGATAAAGAAAGACAAAACACAACCAGGAGAATTCAGCACCCGGCCCAGAAATACAACTTATAAGGGAGAAGAGTATAGGTACCCATGGTACCTAGATATTGACGAAATGACCCAGGCGGTTGATCTGGTTCTGGATCGCTTTAACTCCCTTTTCTTTGATTCCACTCGCATCATTGACGAAAGAGAAAAGCTCRAAGGTATAATTAAAAGCCTAGCCTGGTTTCTTTTTGAAATCCTTGACCTGCATCCATTTGGGAATGGAAATGGTCGACTTTTTAGGTCTTTTTGTTATTATGTGTTGTCGTCCTGTGGTCTCACCATGTTTCCATGTCCCATTTACCATGCTTGTGAGGAAAGGGAAAATAATGATCATTCTTCCTGCCGTAAACCATGTAAAGACAACTATGAACAAGTATTAGTGGATGCAAGAAAATCTAAAACAAGGCATCCTGAGGAATTAGCCACAATGATCCTCGAGTCCTGCTGGAGGACATGGGATGAATTCATGAAAGAGATTTAACTATGTATTCCTGAAAAGTTGGCGTTCAGATGTTGTTGATGGCCTATACCCCTCGAGGGGTGTACCAGGCTTAGAAGGATTCCTAAAAGTGGAACTATATACCTCCCACCCCTCATTAGGAGGCAAAGGAGTCAAATATGGTTCAAATACGGTGGCCCTGAAGTGACATCAACCATGTGCTTTTTTCATTTGACCTTTCGATCTATATTGCCACTTATGTAGAAAGGTAGGTGGACAGTTATGTGGACATTTACATCGACAGTTAGGTAGATAGTTAGGTGACAGTTACGTTGACATTTAGGTGGACAGTTACATCATGTTTCAAAATGAGCTTTATTTTTTTTACCAAGGGCACTCAGMTTTTTTAGGTTGACAGTTGCCAATTAGGRTTGCTATCTGCCAGCATTCACCAGGTACACATGGTTTGTACAGCCATAGTTGATAGAGGGGATATTAACCATTTTAAACACAGGTAGCCCAACTGTCCACCTTACTGTTTACATAACTGTTTACATAACTGTCAATGTAACTGTTCACCTAATTGTTGACGTAATTGTCCACCTAAATGTTGATGTAACTGTGTATGTACTAACTGTTGATGTAACTTTCGACGTAATTGTCCACCTAACTGTCCATCTAACTGTCTCATAACACTCCACCTAACTGTCTACATAACTGTCTACCTAACTGCCCACCTGTCTATGTAACTGTCCACCTAACTTTCTACCTATACAACCTGTCTACATAAGTGGAAATATAGAATGAAAGGTCAAATAAAGAAAGCAGATGGTTGATGTCACTTCAGGGCCACCATATTAAAATGCACCATTATGAAAGTGCTTTTGATCCATATTTTGATTAAGTGTAGCATTGATTTYGGAATCAAAAAGGACATTAATGTAATATACTTGATCTTCCTAAATCCTAAATTTATTTTCAATGTTTCATGTCATATTCTAGGCCCCTCAAAGGGACATAAGGATAGAATATTTGCTTTTAACAATGTAATGTTTAAATTCTTTCTTAAATTCATGTACGTAAAGCACCAGAGAGCTTCCTGAAATGGTGCTATAATAGAGTCAGCACTAATATGAATTTGTTTTTATAATTATTATTATTATTATCAATAGAAAATGATGTATTTCCTCGTATAAACTATTAAACATGTATGACATTTTTTTTG